TTCCTCCTTTCACCACGTCGCCTTCTAACCCTGGCACGACCATCGTGCATGTCTAAATAAAATCGAGACTCGTCACTAAAGACAATACTGTTCCATTCCTGATGCCAGAGTGACCGTTGTCTGCACCACTCAAGGCCATTACGTCGGTGTTCTCGAGTTAAAGGGAGGACCCAGTGTGGCTGGTATGAAAACAAGCCAAAACTTCTCATTCGTCGGTAAACACTTCGCATGCCAATAGGTCTTCCGTGTTCTGCAAACCATTCATTTGCAATGGACCTGGTAGTGGAGAAACGGTCCCTTAAGGTCAATAATCTTAAGCGGCGATCTTCACGGTCTGTTGTTCTACGGCGGCGTCCAGTGCCCCTTGCTCTTTGCGTACGGCCTTCTCGAAGCCATGCCTGACAACACCTAACTCACTAAGTTGACGAAATCGTACAGGTCTCCGTACTCTAGGCATCGTAACCGATCGTAAAGGATGTCAAGAACCAAAATCCGCCAACGTTGATTCTTTACTGCGGCTGAAATATTCATTTTTAGAGAGTTAGTGAATTAAAAAAAAGCAGTATAAAAACCGGAATGTCCAACTGATAAGGCTGAAAATATTTTCACTTGTTATTTACAGTAAGATAAATACATTCACCAACTTTTATTAAAATAAAACCATTTAAACTGGGTGTTCGGATTTATATGTCACTTAGTATATTTCGCGTTCGAATTATTTTGCGATTACGATATTTCGTGTTGATTGCCGCAGTAAGAACACAACTGAGGTTCTAGTATTTCTCTAATACTACTACTATTTTAATACTTTCGAACCACCGCATAAAAAATAAAAATTCTATGCAAATTATTTTTATGAAAGCATACATTTTTTAAGCATCGCTGGCGACAACCGGTGACCCAGATACCATGGAAATGTATTCAAATTTAGTAACAGCTAGTCGATCCCTGTCACTTTCAAAATATGCATGAATATTGTTATTTGAAGTGAGATGGTGTACTAGAACAAAATCTGGCAAGCGATACAGCCAATTAAAGCAAATAATGACTATATTTGTTTTGGTTGCTTTCCTCGTGGTAAAATGAATGTTTTCGTTTGGAACTCATCATCATCATACATACTCATTTAAGCTATAATTTAATTTGTCAGATGAATCTATATAAGAAGGAGAGACCAATGGTATGCTTTCCAAAATTTTTAATTCGAAGTAATTTCATTATTTAGCCTCTAGAAAATATATTCTAGGTGCTACCGTCTTTTTCTTACTTCCCATGCCATGCGTGAGGAAAAATCGAAATCGCTAAAATTTCAGAAAAAACATATTTTGTATGTGTGTCCGCTAATCCTTGGCCGTCTATAATTTGGAAAGTAACGCTCGGATTTTGATGAAAGCGGCTAGGAAGGTTACTACTACCCAAGGACAAGAAAGCTTTATAGTTTTTAAAATTTGGTTCAGTGACGGTGGAGATAGGGGCAGAAAAAAACAAAAAAATATAAATCGCTCGTTTTCCTTCGTTTAAAACTTCTATTGGTATCTTTAAGGTTTTGGCGTGTCAGGGAAAAATTCGCCTCCCCACACTATCAAAAAGGTTTTGGGGGCTCACACACGATATCTTCTGTCGGAGCTGTTTTACTTCCAACGCCAATGGGCGAGGAAGTATTGTAATCGGGATAAATTCCGAAAATGAGATATTTTTAGATGGTCGATGTACGATCACGAAAAACCATGTCACCTATTTCCGTCGGTCTGCCTGTATGTCGCTCTATACCTTTGAAAGTCCTGCTCGGATTCGGATGAAATTTTACACAATGTTGCTACTACAGCAAGGACGAAAAAGCTTTGTAGTTTTTGAAAATCGGTACAGTGGCGACGAAGAAGAATGCCAAACACAAAAAACTTGAATTTTTAAGGTCTCTGTGGATTCTGATTATTTAAAAAATTAGTGGTATAAATTTAGGATGTGGGGGTTGCGGGGGGGTGGGGGGAGTATATCTCAATGTTTGGTGTTAGTACGAGCCCCTTCCCACTTCAGTTGGCCCAGCTATTGAAATCTTAGTTTTTTCTTATCAAAAACAAATAATAAAAATGTAGCAGGGCGTTATAGGTTTAAAATATTAACAATGAATATTTTGATAATATATAGTAGAAAACATCAACTTTATCACTCCCTAATCAAATTTGCAGCATAAAAATAACACATGTTGCAAATACAGCATATCAACCTATTTTCATTTCAATGCAAAATAAGTCTATAACGCATAGGTGGCTGTGAAACATAAAAGCCATGACAATTGTTTTTATTAATCACAGCACAATACGTTTAAAATAGTTTTGGGTAGTTAAGGTTTTCAAAATGGGTAGATTAAAGGTTATTAGTGAGAAAATTCGGTTACTGATAATTAATTTTTTTAATTCTGGGAAATCAAACCCAGAAATTGCAACTTTGTTAGACTTATCGCGGTACAGTGTGAGAAATATTGTTAGAAGATATAACGTAACTGGTTCAGTTAATATTAAGCCACGATATGTGAAAAAAAGTAATCACAAATGCCGACCGAAGAGCATTAAGAAGAATAATCGTGAAAAACAGGCATGCCAATTATTTAAAATTAAGTGCCCTGTGGAGTGTCGCTGTTGGAAGGAGAATTTTGAGGTCAACAAACTGGGATTTAGCACTTGCAAGGTAAGTTTTCTTATAAAAAAAAGTGAAGTAAAAACCCTAAAGTTGCACAACTTGTTTATAGGCCAAAGAAAAGCCACTATTAACTCCACTGCAAAAGAACAATCGGCTTAGATGGGCTCAAGAATATGGAGTGATGAGGCCCGATTCGAAGTTTGTGTTGGTGACAGTCGCAGTAGAGTTATTCGCAAAAAAAATGAAGCATTCCATGTTGACTGTCTGAAGAGAAAGTGAAATTTCCAGCATCCATTATGGTCTGGAGCAGTATGTCATCAAAAGTAGTAGGAAAACTTCATTTTATTGATGAAAATGTGGATACAAACAAATATTTGGCAATTTTAGAAGAATCTCTTTTACCAGTGATGGAAGAATGTTTGACATCCGGCCAAGATTTTGTGTTTCAGCACGATGGTGCAGCGTGCCATACCTCAAAAAAGGCTATAAAATGGATGGAAGAAAATAATGTACCACTTTTGAAATAGGTTTCTAGCAGTCCAGATCTGTCACCTATTGAAACTTTGTGGCACGAGATGAAAAAGGTTATACGACAACATCCTGATCGTACAATCACCGAACTGAGACAAAAGCTTCAAGAAATATGGCATTGTTTTACACCAAATTTTTGCCAAAACTTGGTTAACACTATGCCCCAAAGAATTTCCGCCGTAATAAAAAATAAAGGTGATGTTACCCAATGGTAATCTTTCAATTGTTGCTTTGTTAACTTCGCGCATTTATTCGCACATTGTTTATTTGTTCAGATGTTCTATTAGTTATACGTCTAAGTGATTTCAAATATGTATTTTTTACGACTAGAGTGTATCTAAAATGTTTTTGAGGAAATAAATTGTTTTAGAAGTAAATAGTTTCGTCATGTTTAGTTTATAAAGGCGTATTTTGGTACAAATCTTGAAGTGGGCCAACTGAAGTGGGAAGGGGCTCGTGTATTTATACGCCTCGAACCCGGTAATTCCACGCATCTATTAGCCATATTTCAGAAATCATCGCCCGGCGTCTGCTTGATTATTCTGCTCGTACTGCGGCGATGCTTAGGTGGGTGCTGCCGCGTCTTACGATACAGGAAGAGGCAACGTTGCCAGATGGACTGTAACTAGCGGAAGGTCAGCGAAAGAATTTACATGGGCTAATTTTATGAGCCTGTTTGACTGACTTGATCCGTTTAATTTCCCTATTATGCATGTTCGTAACAGTTAGTTAGTAGTAGTAGTAGTTTCTTCTCAGGCAGCTTAACTTGTACTTAACTTAATCCTTTACGACGGTATTGCGAAGGAAGTCAACCGACTTTATGCTTATTCAAAGAATTTCGGGAGCTTTTTGGAAAGTTTGTACTGGCCCTCGTGGGCATCAGAATTCCTGCGGGCGCTCATGACAATTGATAGGATAGTTGCCAAATAGGTGATGATATCAAGATCAAAGTGACTGTCGCATCCATATGTATGGCATCTGTGTGAACTCTACAGTAAATAACTAAAATACTAAATACTTAAAACACGAAAGCATAAAGAGAAATAAACATAAACTAATATAATTTATAGCAACATTATATCTTATTGCTTACTATAATACCCTTTTTTAAAAAGCGTTATCAGTAATAATATTTCATCACAAACAGCCTAATGAAGACCTATTCGGTATGACAGATTCCCATTACGGCTTCATTAAACATCAATAAATCATAATGGTGATATCGATAAGGAATGCGATAAATACTTTCTACAAATAAAAGATACCGATAACCAACATATTCATTAATATCTTGAAGTAAAACTGGTACCTAAAAAGAGCCACTGGAACTGAAAAAATGGAGGCAAGTAGATTGGCTTTCCATGCAAATATGAATTAAATACATAAAGTAAGATAATTGGATCTCATTATATGTAAAGTAAGGATAAAAGAATAAATTTTTGAGTGTAGATAGCAGTAACATACCCAAAAGGTTTCCAAATTGACAATACTGGCTTCTGATGCTCCATGCAACCAGCGGCACATGGTAGCAAAATGAGTAGGAATCAAAAACGTTTTTCTAGCTTTCGTCGAGCGATAGTATCCTCCACTACTAAGACTCATTGTCACACAGAAAACTTATAAAAATTACAACCTCGAACCACAACTATGAAGAATCATGTTTGTATCGAAAATGATTCAGTAACCTCAGTATTACAGAGTACAACTAACGTTGCAGGAGGCAAGATCTCTGAAACGGCGGCGATTTCTATCGTTTTTTTGTGGGATTGTTTTAACTTCTGATTAGTGAAGCTTTCCTTCATAATGGAATAAAACGCCGCTGTAATTAATATCGATGCAATTTAATAGTTGCTTTTAGATCGTACCTACTAAAATATGTTTTAAATGTATAGAGAATTCTTCATTTTCGGATAATATCTAGGTTGAATTGCTTGAAACATGGGACACTAAAGCCAAACAAAGAAAACAGAAAACTTCCTTATGGATTTTCCAAAGCAAACATTTCATATTAGAAGAAGTACATGTTTCTACACTTCGAGCCCCCTCTAACCTTTTGTAGCACAATACATAAGCAAACAGACATAGTAGTCACACGGAAATGGAGAGCAATTCTTTCTTCTAAGTCAAAGTGCCCGAACAAGACAAAAGGCTCAATATTGCTGTTCTGGAAAAGATGGGTTTTTTATTTTACTTTGGAAACTATGCATAATGCACGTACATTTTAAAAACTTTTGTTAAGAATTTTTTCAGCACTTTTACACCAAAAGGCTATGGCAATAAACCAAACCCGGAGATGACGATATTTGCAACTAGGATTTACATATAACTTACGGCACTGGTAGCCTGAATGCTATGTAGTATACACACCTGAAACAAAAAATTATAGGTTAATTGATTCCAAAAAATTGTGTTCAGCAGATATGAAACTATTTCCGAATAATATATATATATATATATATATATATATATATATATATATATATATATATATATATATATTATGCTATTTCAGTTTCAGTTTATTGTTGCATAACTTTAAGATTCGATAGAACTTTGAAAATTAATGCATAAAGTCTATATAAACATGGGTCGAAAAATGCGTGGCTTCCGAAATACAGGGTGTTTAAATTTACTTTCTAAAATAGTTTTTTTTTTAAATATATCGAACAATATTTGATGTATAACAGTGAAAATTGGTATACAAGGGTTTTTTGGTACGACAAAACGAACCATGGGCATAGTTTTACTGTAGCCGCTAGAGGGCGCTTTCTACTGTACCTGTAGTGTATTAAAATGACAGAAAATTTTTTCTTAGTGCAAGTTTTTGCTTTTTGAATAAAAAAACTGATTCTTCGCACTTTTCAACATAAAAAAGCTCTCTTGTGAATTTTCGTTATAGTTAGCCGTTTTTGAGATATTTCGATTTTTAAGGTTCGATGCATTTTTAATTATTTATGATAAAATAACGTTAAAAAGTCACTATCTCGATAATTTTTAGGAGTAGGCTGTGACTGCAAATATTTTTGAAACTGAAAGCAGAATAAGGTTAAACGTCAATTAGTTGATAGTTTTGTTGTCTGTTGAAACCTGAAACGTTTTTTTGTAATTGTGAATGCACGAAATTTAGTTTCTTTTACCTGTTTTTTTTTTGTAAGTTTTATAAAAATGCCATTTTTATTCTCCAATCAAGAGTTAGCGGATATTCATTTGGTGTATGGCTTTGTAAATGGAAACGCAGCAGAAGCTTAGAAAGTAAATTTAAACACCCTGTATTTCGGAAGCCACGCATTTTTCGACCCATGTTTATATAGACTTTATGCATTAATTTTAAAACTTCTATCGAATCTTAAAGTTATGCAACAATAAACTGAAACACCCTGTATATACGTAGATAGCCCTTACGTTCTTTAATTCTAAATTTAGTTGGTCTGAATCTTTCACCAATTTTAGCATTTATCGCAGTCACAATTTATTTTTTATATTCAATTTTTTGTGTCTACATTTCCATTGGAAGGTTTTGTGTAGCATGTAGGTATCTTACCATGATAGTTTTTTCTGAGACAGTCCTGATATTCAATTTTTTGCATATAGTCTTTCAGATACATATTGCATGCTCTTGTCGTTGGTTGCTGTCTTGGGAGTATATATAGGTGTAGAGCTAGGATTTTGAAATTGCGATTCAACAAATTCTTGAGAATAATAAAAAATATGTGTTGAAGAGCAGCAGCCGTGGAATAGCTTTGACAAAACGTAACATTTGATCAACAGACGATCAAACTGACAGATAAGTGAAAACTGCTGTCAAAGTGACAACGCTGGTATTCAGCATGAAAGCGCTGCACCGCTGGACCGCTTTACGATAGCTGAACGCACTCATTATCATTTTGCTTTGTACTTTGAAAAGGCCACCGAGTTGTATCAGCATAAGAACCACATGACAAGTGTTAAATGTTACATTAGAGTATACAATATGTACAGGTCTATAGTCCATGTATCGAAGAAACTAATCCCAAATATATTCACGCATACTTCCCGTGATCGGACTCCAGGACGCCGAACACGTTATACGTCCGGCGAGGCTGGATGCACCGCCGTGACGTCTCACTCACCCTTCCTGGTTTGGCATTGGTCCTGCATATGGGCTTGACCCATAACAGTTATCCCCGTTTCTTAGAATATATCAATTTGCTGAACACGCGCTTATTATATTTTGGTTTATTGTCTTTCTTGGATAAACAGACTATCGAAAATACTCTTGCCTCAACTAGAGTATTACTGCACAGCACTGCTTGATTTATTTTTCCCAAGTCCCAATGCATTGTGCGAGTCGTATCGCGCCATCTAGTAAAAGTAAACGCAAGAGCTTTAAGTAGCCGTCATGTATACGATAGCTTTCTTCTCTGTGTACCAACAGCGAAGTAAAATCATATTCGACTAGGTGGCAGAAGACTGGCATAACACCTATATTTTAAGCTTTGTAGCAGTGGTGCCGAGCATACTGATTTTTCGGTATGACTGCCGAATGCGATATACCGAAAAGCCCTATTTTTCACGATTTTTTAAATTAATTCAGATATTCCCAGATGTTTTACCGAAAAGAGCTGGAACCAACAATAAAGCTAAAAAATGAATTAGATGTAATTTTATGACCCATATCAATTATACATATGCGTATAATTAGACAGTCGGGCACACGAGGATCGTAGATTTGAGTTGCCTATAATTTTGTCCGCACATACCTGACTCCGTTTTCCATGTGTTCAAGAGGTACATAGTGGTAGATAACCGTCATCACCGCATCACCGGAAAAGCAATAAAGAAGCCAAAGATAGTCTGTTTTTAATTAAATATTCTAATACCAGGGATAAAATAAAAAAATAAACAAAATTTCATAACCAAGAAAGGAGAAAGGAGTTTCAAGGATGATGCAAAGGAGTTTTAAGAGCGACCAGCATGCTTATTGTATAAGTTGTACCTACTAAAGGATTCAATATTTTTCCGGGGAAAGATAAAAAATATACTTTTTTGCATAAATGGCACTGCGTGACGCAAAGTCCTTGAATCAGTGCTGACCTTGCGATGGCCGTAATCTTTTTCCCCTACCGATTTTGTCCTTGAATGTACCGAATTTCAACGTCACCTCTACCGATTTCGTCTTTTTCGGTTCGGCAACACTGCTTTGCAGGTACTCAGGAAGATACAAAGTTTGATTAAAAGAGGAACAAGTGATATGACATTGAAGGATATGTGGGTTCGGACAAAAATTTAATAGCATTATTTATATCTACTTTGAATCTGACCGTCAAAAAATCGCAAAGTTTCGAAGTGCCGAATTTGGAGCAGGAAATCGGTCGTTTAAGACCTTCCGTGGGTACTAACGTCAAAATAGAATCATGGAATTAGATTCGGATTCCACAGGCCATCTTATGGTCAAAAACTCGTGAAGGGTTGTGGGGCTAAATTGGACGTGGAAAATGAGTCGTTTAGGACCGACTGTTGGACATTGTGTCAAAACTATGCCGGATTCGGATTCTTCACAGAAAATTTACCCGAGCAACAAGTTTTTGTAGGGATCACAGATACGCAGGGTTTTTGACAATTTCCCTATGGGAGTCATTGATACCCTGCGGCTCAAAAAATTGCGAGAGACGAACAGGGATGAGTGATACTTTTAGCAGCACGATTAAAGAATCACATTTTGTTGAAATAAAGTCCAACTATTAAATCCTTATTGTTATATCATGCATTATTCATTATTTAAAACACTTGTATGCTTACTGCAGATATGAAAAAGGACATCATACTATTTAACAAAATAATCGATAGGAATAACAAGATCAGAATGAATACATTGTTTTTTTTCACTTTTATATGGATGTCTTACCAACCGTGATGCATCTAGAATAATAGCTCAGTGAATACGATACGATAACATCAAGTAATAAAAAAGGTTTCACTTGATCTTCAAGCAACTACGTAATCTTAAAGCGATTATTGAAATTTTTTTCAATATTTCCGCAACCTTAAATATTTTTGAGATTAGCTGTTATAAGCTTTGTTCCAGAAAAATGTTCGATTCATGTTCAGAACATACATTCTTTCTCGAACAAGAACTAGCACGGGCCTCTGTTGGAATAATTTTTCTAGTTTTGTGCATTGATAAGCTACAAAGCGTTCCTTTTGGCACGGTTTTTTATGTTACGAATTTCAATTGATTTTCACCAGTCATGGAAAATTACGTTTCAAGATCGTAAATTATAATAAAATGAAAAAACAGGACAGTACAATATCATTGCACATTGCACAAAGAATAAATTCAACTTATGATTCAAAAATTTTGGTCTAAATGTAACTCACAAAACAGTGATGCAAACCGAACAGGCATAAACGCAAACAAGAAACACCTGACACATGATTTTCAACTGCCTAAGCCTGGATCATGTTTCATTAATGTTTATCATGATATTTAGAATATATTTTAGGTAACGAATTAGACCAAAGAGTCGCAGTGGAGGATCGTTCTTGATGCACTCACAAGTAACCTAGTTCCAAGCAAACATCAAAGATACTGGAACAACGAACATCAATAAAATAAAGCGCATCATGAACTAAGGATATTTTGAAATGATGCGTATTCAGTCTGTGCTAGAACAAAGCTATTGATGGCTATGGAGTTAGTAATTTTTGGCAGTTCTACCACTGCCCAAATTTTGAAACACTATGCGGAATGTTTAATGTTCCGCTACTAAAAATCGATCAGTTTTTGATCATTAAAAAGACATGTACATGCATTCTTGTAAAAGCGGTGAACGTTTCTAAGTGTTCAATTTCTGTATGATTTACATTGAAGTGATTCCAATTTACTGAAGTGATCGACTTCCCTTTCTAATTCGAACAAAAAGCGTAGTTATTTTCCAAAGAAATGGTAGTCCTATGTATCACAAAAAGACTTTGGTACAGAGTGACAGATTTTCAAAATTGAATCAATCCAGTTTCAGATGTGGATGTCTCTAGCAAAGTCCATTCTTTATAGATGTAGATTTGCTTGAAGTTTTGTAGTATTTCGAACACCCACAGTCGAATTTATAAGTTTCAGATTTTCTCCTACAAATTACGAGCATTGCCAGTGATTGCATGGAAAGCGGACTATGTAAAAAAATTGTTCTGGTAAGTGCTAGAATCTCAAAATGAACCGGCCAACACCAATTCTGTTACCCCTGTATTCAAAAAGGGCGACAAATCCTCCGCTAAAAATTATCGACCAATAAGTCTCGTTCCTATCGCCGCCAAAATAGCTGAAAGAATCATATTAGGTAAGCTCCTGTCATTTGCTTTCGAAAATGACCTTATCCCTAAGAATCAGCATGGATTTCTACCTGGTCGATCAATAATGACCAAGCTTCTCCACTCTCTCAACGATTGGACTCAGTATCTGGACACAAAGACTCCTGTTGATATAATTTACTTAGATTTTTCTAGGGCTTTCGATCGCGTACCACATAGAAGGCTTCTGTTTAAGTTGGAATGTATGGGAGTAAGAGGCGAGTTGTTACTGTGGATTAAGGCTTTTCTCACCGGGAGGACTTTCTCTGTGCGCGTCAGTGATAGCCAGTCTCACCTTCATCATGTAGCAAGTGGAGTTCCTCAAGGCTCTGTCTTGGGGCCAGTGCTGTTCCTTCTGTATACAAGTGACCTGCCCGCAATGATTCCCTCCACATGTTCAGCTTATGCCGACGACACCAAGATTTACAATACTGTCGTAAATTCTGCTATGCTTTAACGAGATCTTGATATTGTTTGTCAATGGTCAGTCAGTTGGCTTTTACCCATAAATCTAACTAAGTGTTGTGTCCTTCACCTCGGGAAGACAAATCCGCGATTTACATACAAGATCTCTGACCACAACATCGAAGCAGTTTCCAGCCACACTGATCTGGGCGTTGTAGTCAACGATCGTCTTTCCTGGTCAGAGCATATTCACCACGTTACATCAAAAGCCAAGAAACTTCTATACATGCTGGAGAGGTCTTTCAAAGGATCCAATGTCAACACTTGCGCCTACATTTACAAGGCATTCGTGAGGCCAATTCTTGAATTCGCTGGCCCGGTATGTGCTTCTGCGCGACAGAAATCTCGTAGAATCAGTACAGCATCGGGCTACTCGTATCCCTTTTGGAGCACGAAGACCAAGCTATGAAGATCGCCTTGAATTATTCAACCTGATCTGATTCTATGAGCGAAGACTTCGTAGCGATCTTATAGTTACGTTCAGGATACTTCATGGTTTGATGGGCACCAACCTCATGCATCTATACCGTCTGTCGCGCAGCAATCTACGCGGACACAGCTTCAAACTGCATAAGGAGCCATTTAAAACAACAGTCCGACAGTGGTTTCTTCCCAACCGCATATTCAACACCTGGAATAGTTTACCTGAAAGTGTGGTTGGTGCTACTTCAGTTAATAGCTTCAAAGTGCAGTATGATAGGTGGAGGAGTGTACAAACTTTATAGCTATGAACTGTCTTTTTTTATTTTTTTCTATTTGATGTATTTGTGTTACGTGTCCGTACACTATATTTACTGCATGAGCTTATATTACTGTGTACTCTGCTCATCTCAATTATCATAATAATAATAATAATAATAATAATTTGAAGACCATTCCAGAAACATGTTACTAGTTATTTCTGATCCTAGGAGACATTTTTTATATATGTACTTCGTACAAAAAGCAATTCTGCAGAATTTGAAGACCCTTCCAGAAACAGTTACTTCTGATCCTAGGAGAAATCTTATGTATATGTACTTCGTACAAAAAGCGTTTGTTGCGTTTGTACTACCATAGTCCTTGAAAGCTACTCTTCAATTAAGAGCTGAATATTTCTTAGCTTTATTTGTTTGCGAGTACATTGACTGAGCCAACAACGAAGTAATTAATGAGAGCCACGTATGTTAACATTGATCTTTCCTTTCTGGGTAAGGTTGCCTCGATCAAGTCGCGACTCGCATAACCCGGCCTTTCTTGTTCGAAGATACTTCGCATTTCTTTATAATTTATAATATTGCGTTACGTCTGCTTATGTCTCATAATGATATAAAAATATCGGTGTTGTTGTGTAGCTTCACCGGCAAAGGTCATATATCGTGTTAACACCATACTAACGTTCTGTAAAGCGGTAGTTGCAAGTTTCACGTCTGAAGACAGAAGCTCAAACATGAAATGATATTAATTTTTCTCCAAGTTAACCTTCAAGCATTTAAATTCTTTGTACTACGAAATAGCATTGATTCGCGTATTCTGCTTGAATATAATGTTATATACCCGCGTCCAAAAATTATCGGAGATAAAATGAAATAATGTAACATCGTCTACGTTTCAGGTGTTTCTCTACTCACTATATACACTTTTTAGGTTAGTATCTCATAGATGACGCTGTCTATAAAAGCTGGTAAATCATATACAGAATGATTCACAAGTCGTGACCAAAAATGAAACATCATACAGAGGATCGCATTTTACGCGGGGTCTTCTATGTAACATTTTTTCTTCTAGGGTTTCATTCAAGAAAAGTTTAAAAATAGAAAAGATTTTTTTAATATCTTCAAAACCGTCAACTGGAATGAACTAAAATTTTGTATGTGAATTTACCTAAGTATTATCCACATTCAAAAGTTTTTACGTGCACAACTGGCGGAGATACAGGGGATTAGTGGCATTTCCAAATAAAAATAGTACTCCACCGGTTTTTTTTTTTCGGAACGCGCAGTTTTTAGAATTTTACCTTCAATTTGCTACAGAAAATAAACTACAGGAATAATAAGCAGTACACCCCTCAATGTTTTCTAGTCATTTATTTGTTGTTAAATATATTTGTTAAAATAATAACTTCAGGCACTCAAAATACAGTATGTTAGTCTCCACCACCTTAACCACCGAATCCTAACCTTATCTTCCCAAATGGGCTCCTCCCACCCACATGAACTTCCTGAACTTCCTCTCCTTCCAGGATCCCATGAATTCCTCTTTCCACCGTCCAAGGAATCGGTGGAATAGTTCCTCGAATTACGTCTCATTTGGTTGTACCCTGGTACTTGCAGGTAATTCTTGCTGCCGTTTAGAGAATTCTGGCTCCCACCGAGTAGGTCGCGCTTTGAGCCGTGGAAGGGACGATTTAGGGAGCCGTATGAGGAGCCAAGGGAGTCTCTTCGGAGGGAGGATGCGAATTGGCTTGGGTGCTCGACTTTCTTCTCTGGTGGCAAGTTGTGGGGGATGCTGAGGGAGCCTCGTCTGCGATAAAATTTCTCATTATTGATGATGATGATTATCACATTTACTATGAGTTATGAGAGGCTTTATAGCTAAATACGTCATCGCTACTCTGTTACCAAATTGTCTAGAATCCCATGAACATCGAAACAGTACCAAGAAACGCCCACATTACGCTAACGGATGCAGTTTCAGTATGCTCTACAGGGTATAAAAAACTAATGGCCGTATTTCCAAAGAAGAAAGCACAACCAAAAATATCAAAATGTCCCATTCTGAAGATACAGCGTTTCAATCACTTTTACGTGACTGGTGAGAATGACAAAACAAGAATATTGGTCAAATAATCGTATCTATAGTGATAGAGAATTACTTTCCTTATAAACTACATACAATTTTCAATGTCAAACTCCGCTAACCTAAGCGAATTTTCAAAGCAGAACACGTTGAAGACTTATTCTTATATAGATTTTATCCCAAATATTTAAACCAATTTTATTCAATAAGGAGTTGTCTGATAAACATTTGTCAAGGAAGGCAATTCCTATAAAATTGAATACCTTATTCAAAAATGCAAAATATGTTTAAAAAAAGTCAGTTACAAAGAGTCATAATTTTCAAATTTCTACACCACTAGAGTGGTTTTAGGCACATACATTTTGTATAGATTGATTATGCTGTTAGTATTACATCTACAAAATTTGCAGTCAATATCTTAATATATTCCGAAATTTCTTTTTGATTTCGAAAATATAACTTAAAGACGCTGAATCTGGTAAGGGGGCATTTTGGGGTCCTTTTTTATATGAACTTTTTAATTATTTTCTGAATATAATTATGAGCATTCCAATACAGTGAACAGGCTGTTTTGATGTATGTATTGCATCTATTTTCATAACTAAACTCAAAAACATAAACGGAGTGCCTAAACTAATGAAATTGACAAACAACAATTCACATCCTTAATGACCTAACTCAAGGCATCGATACCTGAAATCATTGAATTTGGGTGCAATGTGGTGTTCCCTGTCTAGATGAAATACCAGTTTGAATAAGACTACATCAATTCTTTAATGATCATACAGTATATCCCCGTTTTTTCGCTCAGGTGCACGAAAAAAGCATCTAAGATTTGTATATTGAAAAAACTCATTTAAATCGTCTGCATCGTCCGCCGCAGAAATCAGTTGACATCACGAAGACCCTTTTGGCCTTTCGGACGTATGTCTTTACTTGACTGAAGCTGAATGATATTTGGAACAACTATACGAGTACTAGGAGTTATTAATTTGGAGTACCTGATAGTCCATCTCAGAAAATTTTGAAACACTTATACTCAAATAATGCGAAATGCGTCGAGATACTTCGAAGTGATTACGATGCTTACGTCCCCTATCGGTGGAAGGAATAATTTTTTTATGAATGCACGCCAAAAGTGGTTAAAATAATTAAAATTAATAAGGTGAATATTAAATGCCAAAATTCCGAACCTTGGGCTTTTAACGAGCAATAAAGTACCAAAATAGGAAGAAAATGTTAAGGTTAAGCTTAAGGACCCCAAATAAGTGCCGACAGATACTTTTTGTGAGGCAAAATAATTACTTTCTCTCGAAATAGGAATCCCCAATTTGGTTTGTTCCTATCAACATTTGTCACATTTAAACAGTGGCGGCCGGTCCATAGGGGCGAAAAGGCTACAGCCCCCCAAGACAAAATGCGAATTAACAAAAAATTTAAAATATGATTTTGTGATTAAATAATTTCCAGATATATACGAAAATTCAATCAAAACCTGAATTTTAATAGTAGCCAGTTACGCAACACGCAATATATATATATATATATATATATATATATATATATATATTATCCGATCCCAATACCCCGAAGTCGCGAGCTAGATTCCCTATCGATTCGAGGCTAGAATAATTTTTGCCGCGATCGCCGACCTGATTGAGTGGCTCTCTACGTCATACCCTCCACGCGCTTACGAGTTTTATACGGGATTTTAACACGCGAGGTGGCGAAATAATTTTTAGCCAGTCCCGATTTACGTGTGTACGAAATCGCTTCGTCGCGTCCCCGTGCCGTCGTTCGGGCGTTCAAAAAGTTTAAAATGGCAAATGAAGTACAAAATTTGTTAAAAGGTGAATTTTCTCGGCTTCCGCTTGCTGAAAAAATAATAATAAAATCCCTTGGAAGGCCGATTCCAAATATCAACCTTACTCAGGCTGATAAATCGACGAAAGCTGGTTGTTTTAAGAGACATTTTAAGAAAGATATCTATAACAAAAACAAATGGATATGCGGTTGTGGCACATTAAACGCCCTGTTTTGTTTTCCGTGCTTACTGTTTTATTCAGATGCAGCGGAAAAGACATGGACAAGAACTGGATTTAAAGATTTAAAGCATATAAACCAGAAAATTAGTAAGCATGAAAATTCGGCTCGTCACATGATTTGTTCGACAGAATTAGCTTTATTGGGAACAGCTAGTATCGCTGCTCAGTTAGATTCCGCTTACAGGCAAAATATTATTAAGCACAACGAGCAAGTGGACAAAAATAGATATCTTTTAAAAAGAATAATAAACTTTATAAAGTTTTGCGGTAAATTGGAATTAGCGTTAAGAGGGCACGACGAAAGTGAAGACTCTGAAAATCGTGGCATTTTTCGAGAGTTGATTAATTTTACGTCCGAACTGGATACAATATTAAAGGAACATTTAAAAAGTGCGACACTGTTTAAGGGTACTTCTAAAACAGTACAAAATGAAATACTAGATAGTATGTTGGAAGTCTGCCAACAAGAAATTCGACAGCAAATTAATGCAGCAGAGTTTTTAGCTATACAGTGCGACGAAACAACAGATATTTCACATCATTGTCAAATGGTAATGATATTTAGATATCTCCATGAAGGTGAAATACAAGAAAGATTTTGGCGTTTTTTGAGCGTTACGGACAAGACAGCTGAAGGTTTGGCAAAGTGTATCGAAGAAGAACTAGGCCCATTATTAAAAGATTCACCCCACAAATTAATTGCGCAAACTTATGATGGTGCAAACGTAATGAGCGGTAGCAGTGGTGGAGTTCAAACAAAAATCAAACAAAAATATCAGAACGCTTATTTTATACACTGTTACGCTCACCAACTGAACTTAATTATGCAGAGAGGAACCAGCCAAAATCCAAAAGTAAAAGTGTTTTTTTCAAACCTGTCGGCAATTCCAAGTTTCTTCTCCAACTCCACGCACAGATGCGATTTATTGGAAAAAATAGTTAAAACCAAAATGCCAAAGGTTGCGCCAACACGGTGGAATTATAACATTCGCACAGTCAGTGCCGTTTTTGAGAACCGTGAAAGTCTTATTGATTGTTTCCGGGAGTTAGAGAATAAATGTGATAAAACAATTACTAGTAAGGAGGCATACGGTTTAAGAAGAGCACTCGAAGATTCTGATTTCATCTTTTTTTTGACTTTTTTTCACAAAACCCTACCGCACGTAGCTATTTTGTTTAACCAGTTTCAAAGTAGGAATAAAGACAGTGTACAACTTTTAAAAGATATTGACGTATTTGAGAAGGCCATTGTATTGATTAGGGCCACTACAGAGGATATACAGCAAACTGTTGAAAATGAGCATGGAGACAATGGAAATAAACGCAGAAAAGTAGGACCCGAAGAAAGAAATTGTATTATTGCAAAAGAAGTTTGCGATATAATAATTGTACAGACAAAAGAGAGACTTTCTTACAGGGGTCATCTAGAAGCTGCATCTTTATTAGATACACAAAACTTCACAAACTATTCGAGATATTTTCCAGCAAAAATACTGAATTCAGTTGTGACTTATTATCCAATGGTAAAATAAAGAAAAACTGAAAACCGAATTAGAAGTAATGTACATGAGGGAAGACTTCAAAAATATTACAGGTGGTTTGAATTTGCTGTCCCTATTGACTAATAACAACCTAGAGGAAACTTTTTGCGAAGTAACTAAGTTGTTGCAAATAATTATAACTACTCCCATATCAACTTCCGAAGCACAGCGCTGTTTCTCAACCCTTAAGAGGATAAAATCGTTTTTAAGAAACTCGATGGGCAATGAACGACGGAATGCATTGGCAATGATGTCTGTTAATAAGAATCTGGTACATAATATCAGCAATTTCGACGAAAAAGTGATGGAACATTTTATTTCACAGAAAGACAGAAGATTAGACTTTACATATAAACATTAAAAAATATTTTGTAATAAATAGAAGTGTGAAGTGTGACAGTTGAAACACAATGTTTGCTCTAGCTGTAGGTAGGTATACTTAGTCGTTTATAATACAATAATACATTTAGGTATACCGTATTTCTGTTCTCTTTTCCAGTTATTTATAGTTACATGCGTTGTAAGAAAGTGAAAAACTATACTTTTGAGTACTGTTGTTCTTTTGATAATAGATGCTCTGTTGCTTTCATATTAGATGCTGCTTTCTTTTGCGATAAGTTCTCGTACCTAAAATATGTTTGTTCCTATACAGAGGACTGTACATAAAATATATAGGTATAGGATTGCCAACTGATCCATCCACAAAATCAGGACATAAAAAATGCAAAAAAAATTATAGCTCTAAAAATGTATATTTGAATTTGAAGGCTCAAAATGGAAGTTTTTGGGCGTGGCACCGTAAAAATTCTTTGCCTCCGGCGGTGACTGCGGCAGGCCACCCTTCCCTACAATAGCCCCCATTTCTCACAGCCACCGGCCGCCACTGCATTTAAATGGCAAAAAGGTATGTATCACCTGCATCCGTTATCATATGATGAAGATTTCATGTTACATGGGAATCCAAACTATAAGCTTTCAGGAACATTGCGACGTTATCTCACCATATCACCAATAAATACGCATAAAGTATCTATCACTCATAGTAATGATATCGATATACTAGATAGATCATAAGCATAGTTCTTGTGATTGTGGAAATACAAAAAGTGTATATATAGTTAATAACTTACCTAAGCAT